TATGTAACGCCAACGTCCACCCAGTGGTCACGCTTGGCACGAGCTCCATGCGATGTGTTGTTCGTTGTGCAGAGTTGTTCATTTTCGTCACTTGTTCGATTGCAAAACTGGTGGTCATGGCTGAGCACAGGCGCTAGTCTTGCATAGTAGACATTGCCTGGGTAGCCGCTGTGTTGCTTGTGCCGCTCAGTTTCCAGAACACGTGAGACCTGCGTATGGCCCTCAGCAGACTGCCAGCAGCCCATGTCCAGCAAGTGCCCGTGGGAGCAAGGTCCTGGACACCAGCCATGTCTCAGCTCCTTTGCAACAGGGCTTACACACACCTTTGCCAACAGCGCCTCGCATGCATTGGAAGGCAGTAATGTGTTCGAACACTTTGTGGAGCCGGGTTTGTGGGCCAAGGCAATGGCTGGCCGCCGAGGCACCAGGGCGGAGTTGAAGCTGCAGTGGTGTCTGTAAGTCGTGAACGGGTATGGCTCGTACTAACACGCCCGATGACTGAAAAGCCATCAACATATCTAGATTTATCAAACAGGGTACGTCGTCGTAGTAGTGGGAAAAAATATGCACAGCAAGAAGGATCGCAGAACCAGTAGAAAGATTGCGAGATCTGGTAGTGGCAATAATCGCGACAGTTGCGAGAGCATCAACTGTAAGGAAGATCACAGACGATGCACTCAGGATGCTCCTAGCAATAAGCTTGCGAAATAGTCGGGAGAAAGGACAAGGCAACAAAACACGTAAGGCGATTATCGCTAGCCTTGCAGGCTGACTGCACAAAGAGCTTGGAGCTGCGCCCAGAGGCTCGGCAGTCTGTTTGGCAGCATTGCCTGATGAGCTGTGCCGGAACGGATGCTATCAAAGGTTTGGGCAGACAGTGCATGTGTGCGGCAGAAAATGATAGGACTGGGACATGTCGCTGCCACTTCGTCGGCGCGCTCTAGCGCACGAGAAGCTGGGTCAGCTAACCCAATCGCTGGAGGCTTGGGCCGTGTGAACTTGAATGGCGCTGAAAGCTGGAAAGTGTGTCAGGATGCAGCAAGTGTTTTGCGCATCATGCCAGATGAGGCAGCTCCGCGGGCGGGAGTCACAAGTTCAGTTTATTGCTTGGTCGAGCGTTGAAACCCCTGAGAGGACATGCGGTTGTTGACAGCTCGTGTCGCCTTGCTCTTAGAATTCATCCTTCATTTCGAATCCTTTCGCACCCTTTTCTGCCGTGCAGGTTGCCCGCATCATCGCTGATGCGGAGATTGCAATGTCCAAGATCCAATGTCAGGATGAGTCGAAGTGATGCCGGCATTCATGTTGCGGGCATGAGTTTGCAGGACTTACAAGCGCGCCGCCGTTTGTGGAAGACGCTGATCCTCAAGTACCATCCAGACAAGAATCCCAAGATGGCCGATGCTGCAGCAGAGGCTTCATGTTCATTGGTCATGCTTGTCGTCTGCAGCTGGACGCTAAAGCAGTCTGTGCAGGTGTGCAAGAAGCTCAATGCTTGGGCGGAGGCCTTCTGACATCTGAACCTGTTCCCCAAATCTGCAGCCCTGCGCCTTGTATGAAGAAGATGCGGACACTCACAATGAGTCTCCGAAATTTGCGACCAGCAATCGGTCAAGAAAGACTGCCATTGGTCGAAGTTTCACCCTCCAGATCTTGATCGAGCGCTGCTCCTTCCGACTCCCGACTGAGATGAAAACTGTCGCGGACTGTTACGCTTCTGCGTAGAAAGAGACTCTACGAGCAAGTCACCCGGTGAGCTGACACGTCCAGGAATTGAGAGGCATGACCTTTTCATCAGTATTGAACCAGCTGATTGCTTGTTCAGCAGGGCTTTGGGCTTCGAAGACCAGGGAACTCTAAACTTTAAGTCTTGCAAACCCTGAAAGCCTTAAAACCCCAAGCATTCTGAAAGCCTTAAATGCCAACACACGTCCTCAAAAGCACCTTGAAAGCCCGGAAAACCGTCAAAGCCCCAAAGTTGAAGCAGAGATAAGCAGCGAACCGTTGAGGCCGAAACCGTCCTGAGGGCTTGAACTTGTTTTCGAGGCGATTGCCCAGACCGATTGAGTTTCTGCAGCGGTGTGGCTCCAGCAAATTCGGGAGCCACGGTATGCCCATACGCGAATGAAGCTGCCCTGGTTCCTTGGCCGGGGATGGGTCAGGAAAGAGAGCCGCGTTTGGTTGTCTCACGCAACATATCAGCAGATGTTCTCCAGCTGAAAGGCCGCATTGCCTGTCGCACTATCTGCGACTTGCGACACCGAAGCCAAGGTTGCGAAGTGTCTACAAACACTGGGACGATGCCACATGGGACCGATATAGCCTCCCGGCTGGGGTCGGAGTGAAGTCCTGTGCTCGTTGATGAGCACCCGGGGGCCGCTGAGAGCGGAGACAGGGAGGCTAAAGTCACAGAATGTCACACCGATGTGTCTTGCAGTGCACGTAATGCGGAGGGAGACGTTGGCTGGTGAAACAAATCGCAGGCTGCCTCTGCGGCTGGTTTGTTCCTGATCTAAGCTTCGGGTCGCCGCATGCGGCAGGCAGTGTTGTGAGGGCCCCAACTTGTTCGCTGCTGCCGAGGTTACTTCGAGCTCGCAGTGCTGGTCTCCCTGCCATGGCTGGTCTGCGTGCTGATGAGCGGCCCGGCTCGAGTTTGTTAGCTACGATGTCATGCATGGCAGCTCCGAGCCCTAATATGTCACAGTGAATAGCCGAATGGCCTAGTCCTCCAGCCTGCCAGACTAACCACAAATTTTGTCGAGCGCTCTGATGCTAAGCAGTTCTTTCTCATAGACGTGTGTCCCCCTGCAACTCTTCGCCGTGGAGTGAATCCTGCCAAGGTTTCCTGTTCGCATCCACCTACCACAGCATGCCGTTGACAGTGCGGCTGGTTCAATACATGGAGAGGAAGTTGATAACGAGTGTCAAAGTGGGCTTCTTCTGGTCCTTTGCATCGCAGAACGCTCTGTAATGCCTGTAGTTCCGGTGAGGGTGGGAGTTCCAAGCCAAGCTCGCGGAATAAGCAGGCTTGGCTTTGCGCAGTTCCGAGTTTAGATACATTTGATGTTCACGCGATGTCAGCTTGCAAACAGATCTCAGCGCTTCAAGGTGGGTGATCGCACTGACCTTGCTGACTGTGTGCATTTGGCATGCGCGGCACGACGCGCAGCACGGGGTGCAGGACAGGTCTTGAGTCTTGTGCTGCTGCGGAGTCCGTCGATAGGATCCTGGCCTGAAAGGAAGCATTCACAAGTTAACTTGTAACAGTCCTTTCCGCGAAGCTGCGCTCCTGTACTAGGAGTGGCACACCGTGCTGCCGTTGTCCTGCATGGCTGGGGTGGTTGTGTCATCTTGCCTCGGGCTCGTGGCTTACAAAAGTTGCTTGAAAGCATCGAGTTTGGGGGGGGGGGGGTTGCGCGAGCCCATGATCAACGCGAAGTGAGACGCTCTTTTTTCTGGCTCTGCTTCCAAGGCTCTGTACAGCCAGCCTTCGCATGCCGATTCAGGGCATTTCGGGAGAATTTCTGCAAGCTTCCGGATTCCCCGAACCCACAGAAGCTCAAAAAGTTGGGACGTTGAACCAAAGCTCTGAAGTCCCAGTGCCCACACAGGCTCGAAAGCCTAGACATGCCTGTAAAATGGTCAGCCCTGAGGTTTCTACTCACAGTACTGGCTCTACCGGTCGAGCCATTCCTATGTGTGCCAGGGCCTGCCTGGCAGTTCTTTACCCCTTCGTCCTTGAACCAAGGGGAAGGGCTTTTAATTTTTCTTGTGCAGATTTAAGGCGGTGGCAGGGTTTAGGAGTTTGGGGGTTCAGGGGTTGGGATTTGCATTTGCTTTTTACTACCTCTACTTGCAGTCCGCAGCTCTTGCCCAGGGCTAGAACCTCTGAGGAACGTGCTTCCCTCGGAGCCCGCTGCGGGCTACCTGGATGCTGGGCCGCTTGGCTTTACTTGCCGAGTGCTCGCGTGAAGTCTTTGGGTGTCGCAGACCAGACTGCTCAGCCTAAGCGCTCAGCGCCCATGATCCGGATCTACTTAGAACTCCAAACATCAAGGTCTTGCATGCATCCCGGCAGGAATGTAGAACCGCAGACTTGATTGTCAGGAAGCTCGTGTTTGCGGATGAGGCTCGCGTCGATGCAAAACGAGGCCTGCATGTGAGGGGGGAGATGTGGTAGCTTCGAATGACCTCCCCAACGGCAGTACCCGACTCTACCTGCACAATCCTGCACACTGAAATTGCAGCTGCCAAAGCCGATGCGATGCGGATGTCATCGCCAAGCAGGTCAGAACATCATTCCTCTTTAGGAAAGCGACATGACATCACCCACGTTGGCGAATTGCGCCACCTAAGCCTTCGACCGCAAAGCGCCAAGCGCTACTGCCACAATCCACCCGAATTTCTGTTTTGTTTTGTTGGGCGAGGCCTTGGTTTCAAGGACAGGTCGGTGTGCCTCGGCTCAGACCAGCGTCGATGGTGCCTGGCTGCAGGGTAGCTGGTAAGTTGCCGGACAACCGGAGGAATGTTCCGGACATGCAGACCGCGTAAATGTATACTGTGTTCAGTATACAGTTCTTCGCGTGGGCGAGCACTCAAAGAACAGTAGAGGTACTGTGTTGCACCGATCATCGACGACTCGAAGCCTGAGAAGATCCAGTTCTGGGCCGCAGGGCAGGCAGCTGTGATTTGGGTCTGTGCAAGCTGACGATGAGACTACCAGAGAGGCGTAGATCCAACGCCTTCATACTTCGTTTGCCAGGACTGCTGCAGCGCTCGAGGAGATTTTGAGTGCGACGACGCCTGGGACAGGAGCTCGTTTCAGTCCTTGATCCAGGGCAGGGCAACCCGCCAGACATCGTGCAAGCTCCAGGAAAGCGCACGCCGGTGTCGTCGTGCGACGGGCAGCACCAGAGTGCCTTGGATGACCTTCCGAAAACGCTCCCATTGCCTTCACCGTCACTCCGGAATCACGGGCTCCCTGCCAAAGCTGCGAGTCCCCCGTAAGCTTTGAGGTACCTGCAGGCGGTGAAGCAGGCGAAGGCGGTCTACCGCCTTTCCAGTCCGGCAGAGCCCATCTTCGTGCAGTGGGTGGTGGACCCGGAGAAGGCCGGCTCTGTGAAGCTTTTGGGTTAGGGTTTAGGCGGCTTAGGGTTTTGGGAAGAGCTCTGCCTGTCTTGGAAAGGTGGAGCTCAACTACTGGCTGCTGGGGAACGGAGTCCTGATCGGCTCTTGTCTGGTCTTCCTGGTGCTGTCTGGCGTGGTGAACCTCGGCTTAATTGGCTAGGTGCGTGTCTTGGAGGCGTAGGGTGGTCGAGCATCATTTGTGAAGACTCGTGCTTAAAGTGTGAAGTGCAAAGAACTGGCCTGTGCCGAAAGTTCGACGGTCAAAGAACTCATCATCATGAGCATCAGCGCCGCAACGTTTTGGAATCTCGGGCAGCTGATGCTCATGATGCTCGGCGTTGTTGTGGAAAGCAGATGCTCATGATGACGGTCGGGTTGCTGGAACGTCGAGCAGCTGATGCTCACGATGCCCGGGTTTGTTTTGGAAAGTCGGGCAGCTGATGCTCATGATGATGATTTGGCGTGTTTGTGAGCTTGGCGTTGTTTTCGAGATTGCTGGAAGTGTGGCAGCTAAATGCTCATGATACTCGAGTTGTTTTCGAGATTGCTCGGGTTTGTTGTGGAACCTCGGGCAGCTAATGCTCATGATGGTCAGGTTTGTTTGTGGAGCATCGGGCAGCTTATGCTCATGACGCCCGGGTTTGTTTTGGAAAGTCGGGCAGCTGATGCTCATGATGCTCGTGTTTGTTTTGGACACTCGGGCAGCTGATGCTCATGATGATGCTCGGCATGTGTGTGTTGATGGAACGTCGGGCAGCTGATGCTCATGATGATGCCCGGCATGTGTGTGTTGATGGAACGTCGGGCAGCTGATGCTCATGATGATAGTCAGGTTTGTTTGTTGAACGTCGCGTTTTTTTTGGAAAGTCGGGCAGCTGATGCTCATGATGCTCGGGGTTGTTTTCGAGATTGCTGGGAAGTGTGGCGCAGAAAGCTCATGATGCTCGGGTTTGTTTGTGGGACCTCGGGCAGCTAATGCTTGTGATGCTCGGCGTTGTTTTGGAAAGTCGGGCAGCTGATGCTCATGATGCTCGGGGTAGTTTTCGAGATTGCTGGGAAGTGCGGCAGCTGATGCTTATGATGCTCGGTGTTGTTTTCGACATTGCCGGGAATGGTAGAAGCTGATGCTCATGATGCTCGCGATGTCTTTGAAACTCGGGCAGCTGATGCTGATGTTGATGGTTTGGTCTTTTTGTGGAGCGTAGGGCAGCTGATGCTCATGATGCTCGGGGTTGTTGGCGACATTGCTGGGAAGTGTGGCAGCTGATGCTTATGATGCTCGGTGTTGTTTTCGACATTGCCGGGAATGGTAGAAACTGATGCTCATGATGCTCGGGATATTTTTCAAACTCGGGCAGCTGATGCTGATGTTGATGGTTTGGTCTTTTTGTGGAGCGTCGGGCAGCTGATGCTCATGATGCTCGGGGTTGTTGGCGACATTGCTGGGAAGTGTGGCAGCTGATGCTCATGATGCTCGGGGTTGTTTTCGAGATTGCTGGGACGTGTAGCAGCTGATGCTTCTGCTTGTTTTCAAAATTGTTGAGAAGTGTGGCAGCTGATGCTTGTGATGCTCGGCGTTGTTTTGGTAAGTCGGACAGCTGATGCTCATGATGCTCGGGATTTTTTCCGACATTGCTGGGAAGTGTGGCAGCTGATGCTCATGATGATGGTCGGGCAGCTGATGCTCATGATGCTCGGGGTTGTTTTCGAGATTGCTGGGAAGTGTGGCAGCTGATGCTCATGATGCTCGGTGTTGTTTTCGAGATTGCTGGAAATGGTAGCAGCTGGTTGCTCATGATGCTCGGGATGTTTTCTGAAAGTCGGGCAGCTGATGCTGATGTTGATGGTTTGGTCTTTTTGTGGAGCGTCGGGCAGCTGATGCTCATGATGCTCGGGGTTGTTTTCAAAATTGTTGGGAAGTGTGGCAGCTGATGCTCATGATGCTCGGGGCTGTTTTCGACATTGCTGGGAAGTGTGGCAGCTGATGCTCATGATGCTCGGTGTTGCTTGCAAGATTGCTGGGAAGTGTAGCAGCTGATGGTCATGCTGCCCGGCTTTGCTTTGGAAAGCCGGACAGTTTGTTTCTGGAACGTCGGGCAGCTGATGCTCATGATGCTCGGTTTTGCTTGCAACTCATGATGCTCGGTGTTGTTTTCGAGATTGCTGGGAAGTGTGGCAGCTGATGCTCATGATGCCCGGGTTTATTTTGGAAAGTCGGGCAGCTAATGCCCATGATGCTCGCGATCGTGTTGGAAACTCGGGCAGCTGATGCTCATGATGCTCGGGGTTGTTTTCGAGATTGCTGGGAAGTGTAGCACCTAATGCTCATGATGCTCGGGTTTGTTTGTGCAACGTCGGGCAGCTCATGCTTGTGATGCTCGCTGTTGTTTTGCAAAGTCGGGCAGCTAATGCTCATGATGCTCGGGGTTGTTTTCAAGATTGCTGGAAAGCGTGGCAGCTGATGCTCATGATGCTCGGTGTTGTTTTCGAGATTGCTGGCAAGGGTAGCAAGCAGCTGATGCTCATGATGCTCGGGATGTTTTCTGAAAGTCGGGCAGCTGATGCTGATGTTGATGGTTTGGTCTTTTTGTGGAGCGTCGGGCAGCTGATGCTCATGATGCTCGGTGTTGTTTTCGAGATTGCTGGGAAGTGTGGCAGCTGATGCTTATGATGCCCGGGTTTATTTTGGAAAGTCGGGCAGCTAATGCCCATGATGCTCGGGGTTGGTTTTCGACATTGCTGGAAGGGTAGCAGCTGATCGCATGATGCTCGGGGTTTTTTGAATGTCGGGCAGCTGATGCTCATGTTGATTGTTTGGTCTGTTTATGGAGCGTCGGGCAGCTGATGCTCATGATGCTCGGGGTTGTTTGCGACACTGCTGGGAAGTGTGGCAGCTGATGCTCATGATGCTGGCCTTTGTTTTGGAAAGTCGGGCAGCTGATGCTCACGATGCTCGGGGTTGTTTGCGACATTGCTGGGAAGTGTGGCAGCTGATGCTCATGATGCTTGCCTTTGTTTTGCAAAGTCGGGCAGCTGATGCTCGTGATGCTCGGCGTTGTTTGCGAGATTGTTGGGAAGTGTGGCAGCTGATGCTCATGATGCCCGGGACTTTTTTGGAAAGTCGGGCAGCTGATGCTCATGATGCTTGGGGTTGTTTGCGAGATTGCTGCAAAGTTTGGCGATTTTTTTCCAGATTGTGGGAAAGGTGATGCTCATTGCTCTAATGCTTCTGATGCTCGGGGTTGTTTGCAGGATTGCAGGAAAGCGGGGCAGCTGATGCCGATGATGCTCGTTTCGCCGCGGATGCTCATGATGCACAACTTTTGCTGTCGGATGGGTGCTCACGATGATCAGGGTTCAGGCTGCGAAATCGCTTCGGAGTCGGGCTTGCGTCCATGACTCCGACTCTGCCACACTTGTCCGAGTGTGTCAAAGTTTCCCTTAACTCTACCCATGTCTGAAGGAACGTCATCCTCTTGCCCCTGGCGAAGCCGCCGGAGGCTCGAAGCCTAAAGCTTTGGGTTGAGGGGAAGACGGAAGGGAGCCGAGGAAGCGCGACAGCAGCCATATAGCAAAACAAGGAAAGCTAGGAGCGTTTTTCTCGTTGCAGGAGGTGCGCCAACCCGTGGTGAGGCCGCCGCGCCAGGCCGACAGGGAAGCAAATCTGAAGGGCTTCTGAGGAATGGGGATGCACCATCTGTCGTCGCACTTGTCACTTTAAGCGGTCGTCCTTTCACAGGTATTTCGGTCTCGCATGTTCAAGAGCAGCGCAGAACTTCGCCAGCACCAGTCTGCAAGACTCAAGCTGTCAGGACGTGGTTGACTGCATACTTGGCATAGTTGAGTTGCAGTTATTCTGCCCTAAACCATCAACCCTGGCTTGCTGTGTTTCTAACTCGCTTGCTTGAAGAAGCGAGGCATGCTGGTGACACTCGGCCCGGCCGGTGTGTAAAACTGGGGGCCTTTGGGGTGGGCTGTTGCTGGGACTAGCGTGGAGCTCAGGGTTTTGCACCCCGACTCCAGGGAATGCGGGTGCGTCGAACTTCAAGCCGGAGTTAGCATTGCAGGATGGTGTGGTCTTTTGCATGTTTTCACGAATCCGTCTTGGCACGCTTGCATGGATGGTACATGCACGGTTTCTGGTACTCCGTGCATATGATGTGTGCACAGGGTTGGATGTGTGAATACAGAGATTCTGGGCGGCATGGCATGAAGCTGTTTCGCATGGGACATACTCACTCAATCAAGTTCTGTCCCGATTGTAGTAGGAGTCCCTGTGCGAGCCTCGAGTCGTTCTGCCCAGAGCTTTTCGGGCTGTTGCTGATACCCAGTAGGATTCATGGATTTGAATTGCTGCCATGAACGAAGCAGGGCGCAGAAATGTGGCAAAGCTTCCCCAAGAAGTCACGTGCAAGCTGAGCGGCACAGTCGGGCCTGGGCCTGGCCTGAACACAAGCATGCAGCAAGCGCTTGGTGGACTCGGACCAGCTGCCAGGTCTCAAAGACTTTAAATCAAGGCGCAGCTTCATGTACTGGTATCATACATCAAGCTTCGATGCCTCGTTCACATACACAGCCGGCCCAGCAGTCAGGAACCTCGACCCCCCAGCCAAAACGGCGCGAACGTGCAGCCAAGTCTTGTAGTGCTCGCTTCCCCGCCTTCCATGGCCACGCTGACACGAGAGCATGCCCGATGCGAGGGTTCGGATCTGAGCTTCAGCCTGCGGGAACCCAAAGGCGCAGACAGGGAAGGGTCCAGTTTTATTTTGGACATAAGACCAGGCCCTTCGAGATCTCGACTCGGCCTTCACTGCGGCGACAAGGGTCAACGAGCAGAAGGCTGCGAGCTCGCAGAATTGAAGGGAAGGTCTTGGAGCCAAGTAGAGTCTTGAAATGTCTTGAAGTCCAAGAAGGCGTGCCAATCTCAGTGTTTGCTACCGGGTTGAGTTGGAACTTGTCGACTCGTCCATCAAAGGGCTGGCTGTGGCAGGGAGAGCCTGGCATTCACCCGGAAGGGGCTTCGCAACGAACGCTGTTCGCAGGTGTCTTCGCTGCTGAATTCGCAGAACAGGCCATGCTCAAGCTTGCTTCACGTTGGTTCCTTGGGGGTGAATGGGACAGACGCCCGTGATCTGATGGCCTCTGCACGACGATCAAGAAAGTTCTAATGCCGGTCGCAGGCCATCTTCACGTTCCTTATGCATGCATTTGTCTGACTTAACCTGCGGCAGATTCCACGCGAACTTTCGCCACATGCAAGTTAACCATATACGACGACACTGACAATCTGTTGATTACGACGGCATCCTTACCGTAGCCTAATTGAATTTCCGTGCTCTCTGCTGCAGTGTACGTCTACACCCTCAAAGCCTGACACACACTCTAGACTCTAAGCCTGGAGAAACCCGTAGACTCTATACGCTCTAATATTATGCACCCAAAGCCCTGGATTCAAAAATCTTGGAGGGGTTATATCCTCCACACATGCTGCCCCCTAAACCCTAAACCCTAAGCCCCTTGCCGGCCTCCCTCCCAGCGGAGGCTGCGCTGCGAGAACGCCGCGCTGAAGCGCTCAGAGGTCGAGCGCCGCAGCGCCTCCCACGGGCGAGGCGAAACCCTGAGAAGCCTTGGGCTTCTCGGGAATCCCCCAAAAAGAGATCATTAGGGTTTCATTGCTACGCTCCATAGGAGTCAGAGTTTCATTGATATTGTATACTGGATGGTAGTTAAAGTGCTTTTTGTCCTGGGCTTTCAGTGGCCTTTTTTTTGGGGGGATATCTGCATTCTGTTTGACCAGGGGCTGCCCTCGCCAAAGCCGAGAGGGAGCTCCTGGAGCAGGCGACAGCTCCCTGCTTCGATCTTTGCTCAGTGCTTTCTCCGTTTTTGGGTTCTCTGCTCATACGTGTGCACAACTGGTGAGCAAGGCCGTGCCGCTGCTGCGAGCAAGACAAGTCTAAGAGCTCCTTTCAGTTCGGCTCGTGAGGGCAATGCGGGCAGCTTGCAGCGCAAAGTTGCAGAAAGCTTGTAGGCCGTGTATGGGTGGCTTTGCGCATGCCATGCTGCGCGCCGCTGGCCTGGCGTCCCTGCTCTCAGTATGTTCGGCATCGTCGAGCGACGCACTGCTTTGGGGTGGAGCCACCGACATCTCAACCTGTGTGCTGGCATCCCCGTTCATCCGCTCGATGTGTGATGGGACGCTTGATGCTAGACACTTCGCACAGTATATGATACAGGACTGAACTCATGTCAGATATCTCCAAAGCTCGTGCTGACCTCAAGTGCTGATCTCCGCTCATCAAGAGTTCTGGCTCCTGACGCAGGACATGTCCTGCTACATGCCTGGTGCTACAGAAGTGCTTCTGTCGCTCTACCAGCGTTCCCTCAAAGAGCACGGTCCCCAGAGCAACTGGACCTTGTTCTTCAAGGAGGCTCCATCTTCGGTAAAAACTTTAGGGTGCTTTTGCAACCTGCATTCTGCGCTGATTCCGTGCGATACTGGGGGATGACGCGCGGGGCTACGCATTCTGTGTAAATGATGAGAACACGCTGCGCTGGACCTGGACCCCATACTCCGTAGTTGCCCACCCGTGGCATCTTCACTGCTTGGCTTCCCTTTCTGCGAGCGCATGGGAGACCCACGAGAACTACCGGGTCTATGGAGAAGCCGAAGCCAAAGGCTGGAATCTGGAGAAGGCCAGCGAGGGTTCGGGATTGGGCCATTGGGGCTTGGGAGCATGCGTGTCTTGTCAGCTTCATACGCCAGGGTTGCGTCCTGACGTGGAGGTGGGCCCCAGCAACGCATGCACGGCCTATGTCGCGACTGAGTTGCAGCTAACTTGCTGTTTCTGGAAATCCCAAACTCAACAAGCACGGAAGACGATGCCATCAAAGCTCGAGGATTTCCTCCGGCAGACGGCGGAGTCGGAATCCTTGGCACAGGCAGTGCCTCGGGTGCAAAGTAGAAAAGCCATGCTCTCGGAGACTACCTCGAGCTTGCCACTTTTTTGGCTGATACCCTTCGAAAGACTAGTAGCAAAATATGATCTGGTAGAAATGGCAGTAGTTGGACTTTCACGCCTTTTGTTGCGGATGGACTCCGACTGTCGCGTTGATACTACCAGCAAAAGCACACGATCCCTCCCGGAGGGGTCGGAGACTGTTTGTAGAGCAGTCCCTGCATGTTCAAGCTGGTGTGTTCGCCTAGCTCAGATCTTACAGCCATACTCTTTACTACTGAAGAGTCTCTGTGCCACCACGATGTCACATCGGCGGATGCAGGCCGGATCGAGCAGAGGGCAGATGAGAGTACGATACTGGGGTCTACGGATCAGAGCTCTTGGGCCGAGCATGGGCCGCAGGATACTGGATGTCATGCCATGTCATACAGCTCAAAACGGATTGAGTAAGTAGGGGAAGCTGCAGCGAGGCACAAGAATTCTGCAGAGAGCCCAGTAGGATGAAGCCAGCCCAGGTGATCGCCTTCGCACCCTGCAGTGTTCTTTGGGACTGGCTAGCCGTGCGGATGAGGCGATGCGCAGTTCCGGGCAGCTTGGCTTGGTCAAAGTCGGTACACTGGCAGGGACGGCAGGTGTGGAATGCAGGTTCTACACCGGTAGTCAGGTAGACATCCAAAATTTCTGGTTTTCAAGCAGATCTCGTGGTCAGGACGGCTAGCCTAGCAGAAGTATTTTCTTCGGCGGAGTACTAGGCACAGTGGGTGAGGGCTGCAAAGGCCGTCATGCGATTGCAACAGCGACCAGGTTGAGCACTCGCATTTTTCACTAACCTGCTACTCTTCATGTCAATATAAGTCCAGAGATACAGTGGGACCTCTCAACAGGCAGTTCCCTGTACCCAAGCCTCTCAAGCATGCTTCCTCAGGAAATGCCTACACCGACTGGATAAAGGCCCTTCCTGCCACGAAGAAACAGGCGGATTTCAATGCCTGGGATCCTCTGCTGCTCGGTGCAAAAGAGGCCCCTGAGAGCACGATGACAAGTAGCTTGGTTTCGAAGCTTAGGGGTCGTGTAGGCTTCACAGACAGTGATCGTTTCATCAAGCAGCTTGGCGGTGGCAGCGCAGATTCTGCATTTTCAAGATCTTTTGACAGGACGGCTGCTCCTGTTGTCACGAAAAATCACTACACATCAGATTGGTAGATTTCGAAACCGATCTGAAACCCTCTCTATTTCCTCCTCCTCTTCAGCGCATGTCGCGCTCCTTCCAGGCTTCAGGAGGCTTTGCAGCGAGACAGAGCACAATCGCTGCAGACTTTCCGCAGCTCGGTGAGTTTGCTTTCATGATCTGGTCAAGACGTGTCACCGGATAGCGCTTCTCAAGCCTTCTTTCAGGCAAGGCTATGATTCAGGAGCTTGAGTTCTTCAACTCCGTTGTTGCTCGGATGCCCTGGAGGGGGGAGCTTCGCTAGGGTCGCTATAGAGCTCCGGAAGGATCTGAAAGGCTCAGGCTTTCATCGATTGCGGTTCTGCAGATGTTTCGCCAGGCATGTGCATAGGCTACTTGTAACGTATGCAGTTTCAGAGTAAATCCTGCTTTCACAGGTATGGTGCTTGACAGCGAGAGAGTTTCTTGCCGAGGTTCCGGGTTTCAAGCCTGCGACGTCTTTCCACTGCGAGGTTCCGCCAGAGCTTGCGAAAGGAGGCGCCTAACCGACGTCACAATGCGCAACTACTGCTATGGACACATTTTTGACATGCACTTACTGAGGCTATGCATGTTCGATGCATGCTGCATATTGTTCCATGTGGTTGCATACTGTTTTGTACTGCATTGCATTGTGCTGTGTTGCATTGTGTCGTATTCTATGTATTGTGGTGTCTTGTCCTGTCCTGGCCTGTCTTGTCTTGTTTGTCTTGTATTGTACTGGTATCATGGAAAGCCACACAGCAGCATGGTCGGACTGGATGATTCGCGCTGCTGTCTTCATGGGTGCTGTTGCGATTCGTACTATCGTGATGGACACGGTGTCTGTCATGGAGCCTTTGCAGGCCATTGTTGTGCTTTGCTAGAGCCACCTTGCCTGCGACGAAGTACCTTCATGCCTGCCACTGCCACTACCACCAGCGCCACCACCACCACTACCGTACCAGTACCACTGCCACTACCATAGACTACCACTACTACAAGTACCCTTGCACCACCACGACCACGGGACTCCTACTACCACCTCTACTTCTACTGCTGCTGCTACTGCTAGTACTTGTACTGGCACGTACTACCACTACCACCGCCACCACCAATTTTGCTACTTCTACTCTACTGCTACTTACTACTCCCCACTTCTGCTACTGCACCTGTTGCGACGATCGCCACAGCCGCCACCACCACGACGACGACTGCACTTGCCATTGCTGCTGCTGCTGCTGCTGCTGCTGCTGCTGCTGCTGTTGCTGCGACAGACTTGTAAGGATGCTGGAATGGCTGTCTGTGTGCGATTACATGGTTTTTATGATCAAGACGTATGTGATAAGTGCTGCTGTTGCTGCTGCCATCACCGTCATCATCATCACCACCACCATCACCATCATCATCATCATCATAATCATCGTACTCGTCGTCATCATCATCATCATCATCATCGTCACCGCCTCACAATGATTCAGCATGGAAGCAAGCCGAGGATGCGTGGAACTCTAGACTAGCCTTTTGTTCGATCGAGGGAAAGGCAAATCAGCGGCCTAGCTTTCGGAAGCTGTTCGGGTTTGGGGCTTGGCGTTTAGAGTTTAGAGGTTTGGGCTTGAGGGTTTGGGGGGTTATGATTTAGGGTTTAGGGCCCTGCAGTCAGGCTTTCATTAGACCTGCTTAGCATAGCTATGGATCTGACAAGCTCTTGGAAGCCAATTGCACCGGCCCGTTTGGGCTCGAGGTAACACGAATCCATACGAAATCCCATAATATCCCAATCTAATCGGGCAGATTTGCTGAGCAGCTGCAGAAGTACATACGGATACCATGCCTCAAACTGGGCCTTCATGGACTAGATCTCGCCAGGCATCCGCGATGCTGAGCGCAAGGTGCAATCGGGTTTGATTGGATCACAGTCCCAAAGTTCAAAGCATTCGGGTCTGTGGCTAGGTGCACTTTTCATTGACAGCTTACATTTCCTAGCTGCTTTCCTCTCGTCAGAAAATTTAATCCCAAAAGGAAAATTCTCCCCCGAACCCGGAAAATTGAAGTTGAGCTCCAAAGCTGAATTCCGGAACCGAAACTTCACCTGAAACCTCGATCCCCAAACCCCACACAAAAGACCCCGAACCCCAAAACCCGAAGCTTAGCTCATCACTGTCCCAGGGCGACAAAGTCCTTACGTGCCTCGGGCTAGGGTTCATCGCCCTCGGCGTGCTCCAGTGGTGCTTCTGTCAGCGCGGGCCGATTCCACCGATGGAGAAGCCTCTTCTTTGAGAGTCTGGGAAGGGAGGTTCGTACGAAGAACTGGGGGTTTTAGCGTCCGATGCGCCCGCAACGTCTCTGCCAGCTGTAAGCTTTTGTGGCTGCGGCTGCACCAGCCCCACAACGGGCGAGATGTGCCAAAGTGAGCAGAGATGGGGGCGGGGCCGCTTTGAAGCAGATGCGATCCTCTGCTCCCTCGACGGTCAATGGCTGCATGGACGTTGTCATGCCAGAAAAAACCAGACTTCCAGCAGGCATTCCTAGATCCGTAAGACCAATGCATGCCTGGAGGAGTCAGGAATAGGGCTAAGCAAGAGTCACGTAAGCATGCCATTACTCCATGGTGTCAGGACGCCATCCTACGTGCATTCTACAACTTCCTGGGCAAGGAGCCTTGCAGCTGTCTGGTCAGTGTTGTTTTGGGGATGTAGGGTTTAGAGCTTAGCTTTCTTGCCATATTTTGGCGGTTTCACGAGATGCTGCAGGTGGGAACTGCCGTCAATGCTAGATTTGATGTCTCAGTCGCAGACTCGCATAAGAGGCAGGCGAGACATTACAAGAGTAGCCGCACTACTCATGCTCTCAATTTCTAGTTGCCATCATACCGAGAGAATGGCAAGATAGATGTCCTGAATTTTTCTGCGAATGGCCAATGGCCAAGAGGATGAGATTTTACAACTTACCTCCGGAGGGGCCTGTGTTTCGTGGGACAAGGATATTCTAAACTTGCACGATTCAACATCTGTAGTCGTGGAATGTTCACGAAAGCAACAAGGACAACAACAGCGATCGCAACAGTCGTGAACGTGATACTGAGGTTCTAGGGTTTAGGGTTTAGGGCCGTAAGCCCTCTGCCTTAAATGACCGTGCGGCATAGGAATCTGTGACTGTGAGAGTCTTGGCTCCGAGCTTTGCCGCCGACCGCGTTTTGCAACCGCCGCCACATCTCGGTCTGCCGTATCATTGCCATATCATGACAACTCCTTCCTGCATGGCTCTGCATATTTTATGAAGGTGTAACGTGTTGGGCAACGTATTCTCTACGATCTGATTAAGGTTCAGAAGCAGGGGTCTCAGAGAATGTGGCATAGCTTACTGCTCTCGGGTTCATAGCCCGGCCATGCCTCTGAGCTGAGCCATCTAGCGGCTCAGGCATGTGCAACATAGAAGCGTACATAAATGCCACCATGATTCCTTAGGGCTCCTTGTTAATTATATGGATGCTGTGACATACATCAGAAGCTTAGTCTCATTACTATAGCCCCTACACCCCCGAAGCCCAAAGCTTCAAAGCTTTCCCTCGGCTGCCCTGCCTGCCTCAGCCCTAGACTTCCCGTTCCACAAACAGAAGCCCAAACTCCGAACCCTTTGCCCCTTTGCCTAAAGCCCAGTCAGCCCAAAAAAAGACTTCCCAGACACCCCGAGCTCCAAACAGCAGCTCAAGACCACACAGCGCGTGCCCCTTAGCGGCACTCATGGCCCCCTGCTGCGATGAACGCCAGCGACCTCCCCTGCCGGATCCTCTTGAGCGACAGGCAGGTCCGGCAGGCCCGAGACCAAAGGGCTTTCAGGGTTCGCTTGAAGGGGTGGTCCTCTGCTTTCGTGCGTTAGTGTTGAAGACTTTGGGCCTGGGGCTCAAGGGTTTGAGGTGGATTTCTTGCTGTTGAGGCGGCTGCGACAGGCCCTTGTCTTTATGACGAGGCTGCTAGGTCTGATTATCACACCGTGCGGCGTTGCTAGCACAGCGAGGCCGAAAACGAACTGCAGGTGGAGAAAGCTGGGTCTGGATCACAAGGACGCCCCCTCGGGTTGACCTAAGGTTACAGAAACAGGTACACCGCACCATGTCTTTGGCAAACCCTCTTTGAAGATGATCCGCTCCCAGCCTCACAGCAAGGTGCTTGGAAACGTGCTTCTGTTGCGGGTTTGGATGAGCTTTAGGGATCGTTTAATGGCTGTGATTCTACTGCTACGGAGTGTATCTTGAGGAAGCGCGGCTTCGCCTTGACTCACCGGGATCTGCTACCTTCACTTCTGGTCCGATAATGTCCTTTACCTCAACCCCGGAACCCGTATTCATCCTTTTTCGCAGGTCCTTGGAGACCGCGGCGAGGACTCCTTAGCCGGCTCTCATCCTTGCAAGGTTGGAGTATCATGAGAGTCTCTGCCAGCCAGATGGTGGAATCGAGAATAGTTGCGAGTAGTAGTTCTTGCTTGTTGTTCGCGAAATGCATGCGCTTAATGATTTGCTTATGTTGCATTTTTGTGCTTGTTGGTCCAGTCTTGCTTGATTTGGACTGTTCCCTGCGCGGGGTCTTCCGGGACCAGCTTTCCATCATTTCCTCTTGCTGCTGTGCATCCAGCCAGCACTAGCTTCTTCTGGCCGGCTTCTCGTCTTGATCGTGAGTATATGTGCAAGGTGGCGGTGGCCTGCCGGCTATGTGTCAATGAATGGTTATCACTGCAGTTGTCACGCCTTCCTGGAACGTGAATTTCAGTCTCGCTCGACACTCCCGTCAGCCGTCAGGAGAGCCTAAAGCGGCTGCGTATGGGCAGTGGTGCCAACATACAGCTGCTCAGAGGAGCCGGAGATGGGTTCAGTTGAGGTTTGAGATACAGGATGTAGGGCTGAAGACCTTTTATTTGTGACGAGTGCCTTTCCGGTCTGGGTTCCGGGGTCCTCAAGCCCTCGAGTCCGTCTCGTGCAGGGCCCCTGTTGCCTGCCGCGTTCCGGGCGAGAGACGAGTTTCTCGCTGCGGCTTGTCCGCAAAGGGTCAACTGCATCTTAGAGCGTGAACGTCTGTCTGGCTGGCTGTCTCGCTGTCTGCATACGGCGTGCAATTACGTGTGCATGGACGTATGTACATACTGTATGTACCTGCATATCTGTGTGTGTGTGTACTTACATGCACATTATCTGCGCATTCGGTTACGACTTGTGCAGACAGCGTGCATGTATACTCTAGCGTACTTATCGGTATACACATTTCATTTAAAAAGATGCACATAAATCACATAAACGTGTCGTGCGTGTGTATGCACTCATGTTGGCATGGGTACATACTTTACTTATCGGTCCTCCTTGGCGCATTGTATTTGGAGCAGCCGCTGCGGGCTCGGAAGAGGACCCATGAGTTCCTGGCAAGACACGGCAAGGTTCCAAAGTTATCGCTGCTGCGGCCACGGGATTGCCGCAGAGGTGTTGTGAGTTTTTGATTTCTACAGGAAAACGACGATACAATGACACTGATATCGATCGAACCAGAAAAACGAATGCTCACGACTGGCAATAGCTTTAGTGATGCTCGTAGCATTGACAATACTAGCAATGGTAGTACTGACAGTAACACCAGACCAGCAATATAGCAGTAATGCAAGCAACAGGGAGCTCGCGCATCTCCACCTTCCAAAAGGTTTTCTGGGCGGACGACGGTGCTCGGCTGCGACGAGCGCTCTCCGGCGTTCTGGAGAAGGCTCCGTCTTTCTCGCTTTGGGCTTTGGAGTTCATTTTCCCTCTGATTCTGATGTAGGGTTCCGAAATTTGGGTTTGGGGGTTTCCTCCCAGCACAGGGGAGCCCACATGGCCCGCACCAGCCCCTCGAAATCAAAGCATAAAACCCCATGGCATTCCTCGAGTTGAGAAGCCTGATCTGAGCTTAAGGGCTGTCGTTGCCGCTTGTGGCTGATGTTTGCTGGAGGCGTTCGCGCCACGGCAGGCCAGATGTGGTGGAGCTGGGAACAGCAAGGGGATGATCGATTTTGAGCTTCAGGACTCGGGGTTGTAGGGTTTAGGGGCAGCTTGGATGTGCGGCGACGCCCGGCTTGGGTCATGGCTTTCTGCTTGACATGCGCGGGCATGTGTGTTTCGATTTGCTGCCCTTCCCCATTTCCAGGTGGCTGGGGCCGCCCCACCTTCTGCGGAACCTTCAGCGACTCGTGTGCTGGAGGAGGGGGAATTGGCTCGGGGTCTGTGTCAGCCTGCAGCTGTGGCTTGAGAAGGCAAGGAGGCCCGATCTGGATGCTCATGTTCCGTCTGGGTGGTGCGAATTCGAGCTTCTTCGCCGCTCCGACTCGGCTAGTAGCATGCAGCAAGCTAGGTATGACGAGCTAGAAGCGTCAGCACATGCCAGAGCCAGCAGAGAATTCTCATGAGGACGGCTTGCCGAAGGTCAGTCTGAGTCAAGTAACAGCAGCAAACGGGCTTCTCTACGATCAATTCTCGCGTCTGTAACGGCTGCCAGGTGATGATCCCAGAAGTAGCGTGTCGGCACCTCATCGGTGCGCGGGGGGATCGCATCAAGCTCCTGAGAGAGGAGTCGGCCTGCGCCGGCGCCTTAGAGTGGCAAAGCTTGGACTGAATCCTCTGCGTGCGTGTGTCTGCTAATATATCAATATGTGTATATATATATATATGTATATATATATATATATATACATATGCATATGCATATGCATACATATGTACATTCACAGACACATGCACATTTACACACACACACACACCTGCCTTTCTTAGACACATATGTATACAATTGTATACACCACACACATCGCGCCTGTATGCATGCATGCATGCATGCATGGATGCATGTATGTATGTATGTATGTATGTATGTATGTATGTGCGTATGTACTGATGCAGGCAGGTATGTGTCGAAGTGTGCACGTATGTGTTCATGTATGTATCTATGCCTGTTATGAGGGCGTAAGCAGTTCGTATGTGTACCTACATGTTGCTGTCTGGCGTTATGTGTTATGTTGCTGATTATCACCGTCTGCCGGTAAGTACCAGCAGCTTTACCAGCACACACACACACACAAGCTAGTAATCATTCAGGTACACCCGAAGCTGCATACAAAGTAACGACATGCGACGATGGGTAGAACTGTTCTCCCTCTTCTGGCTGTTTGCCGAGGAGATCCATCTCTCTCCTGGGAATGTTGCCGGCATTGCCGCCCAGAGGCGTGTGAAATGCAACGGGCCTGAGGCCCAGTCGTTGGCAACTGTCAGTTGGATGTATGTAGTGAAGGATGTGAATCTTCACGTCAAAACAGCAGTGGCAAGCCACTGTGGCTGGCTCGATGAGCCAGGTTCGTTCTGGAATGGATTCCTTCTACTCCTCGCAAGCCGAGTAAAAGGCTTCTTCTCCGATCCTTCTCTTGGTGTGCAGACTGTCAACTGGCTGTATACAGACACTGCAAGGATGTTTAGCGTTCAAGCATGAGCTCGAGTGTCAAAACTGTTTGTGCTCCCGTCCAACACTGGCCAGAGGCGCTTCGGATGGTTTTGGCGTGTCACTTCGTTTTGGATGGACTGTCGCTACTTACAAGCCTTGCAGCAGATGCGGTCCTGCTGCTGAGACGACCAGCTTTCCACTGCCGGTTACTAGAAGATGCTCACTGCACTCAAGTGCTGTTGTTGAATCTGGGCCTGAACCATCCGCAGCTTACGGCCGGCTTTCTGTTCATGCAGTTTGTCTCGCTCGTCGCTTTCCACGAAGCTGTCGAGGATGCCGTGAACAGATGTCGCCATTCACCGAATGACCGCGCGATTTTTGAGACACTAGTTTTAAGGCGAGACGAGCTGCAACTTCCAGTGATGGGCAAAGTATTGACTCGTCGATGGTTTGTCCGCGCGGTCCTATCATCGATGACCTCGACAATGCTCACGACGGCCGTGCACTTCGTGAAAGGTCTGATTGGGAAGTCCTGATGCAGCCAGGCTGCGCTGAAGCTACGCAGACATGTCCGCACCAGGCTCGAATCTCCTTGTCGAAAAGTCAACAAGAGTTTGCTGGACATTTTCTGGCATTTGAGCGTTTGTGGTTGAGCAATGTTGCGTCATCTATCGCTGTGGTGTTGGGCTTTGTATAATTAATCTGTGAAATTGGTCAAGTCCGCTTGCGTGTAAGATCAAGTATTGGGAGCTTCGAGATCTTGGTGTTCGGATATTGGGTTGTGTCAGGCATCGCATGCGTGCACAATGTGAGCAAACAACTTAAACCCCGAGCCGTAATGCCAGAGCAGCGAGTCCTCCGCCAGGACCCCAGACTCAACGCCTCGCGGATGCAACGCTTCAAATCGACCCCAGGCCACAACCACCTTGAGCACCGATGGGTGCAGAACGAGCAAAGCATCGAGAAGCCCACACTGCAAACCGCAAATCCCTCACCTTGCTGGCGAAGATGTGATCCTTCGCGTGCATGCTTCGATGGGTTGTTGTCACGATGGCAATGCTGTCGCAGACTCCGAGGCTGTCTTTCCATGTGTTTTGGGCCCAGTGCCCACGGAATCATGCTCAAATGCGCTTTTTGCCCAACCGTCCCTCCGCGCTCGTAAAGGTGGCATTGAGGCCCTCCTATATCACTCCTGCACTATGCACTGGCCTTGAAGTGTTAGTCTAATGTAACTCCCAAAGTAAGAGCCTATGGCTGTCAGGAATGTTATCCTCTCTCTTGCGATGACAGTTACCACCGTTCTTCTTCTGCTTCTTCATCAACAACAGGAAGTAGCCATGCAAGCCAGCGATGTTCTCGCAAAGCAATGGCTTCTGACAGTGCGAAGCCCTAAACCTAGGTCGGTTGCCAGCCTCGTGGAGGCCGCCGCGCGCGTGCACGAGGCCTTCAGCAGTTCTCCCTCCCAGCAGCCATGGCTCTTTTGCTGTCACCTTGTGGTGTTGTTTTGCTGCTGGTGCCGGTGTTGGTGTTGGTGTTGTTGATGGTGGTAGTGGTCTGTTGCCGCCTCTAGTTCTCGCTGGCTGTTGTTGCCATAGCTGCTGTATAGTTCATGATGTTGATAATTCGGTTCTGGCCTGCCGTCCTTGGTTGCCGCAGTTGAGAGTGGATGATTTTGGCTTCTGCATAACTTGCGGGCTGGTGTGTGTCGTTCCATGTTGGAGGGAGTGCGGAGTGGGTTTGGGGGAAACAAAGCGAGCAACAGCGAACTCGTGACAGAAACCAGGCCTGGGGATTGGAACGAGAAACCCAGTAGCATGGCGTGTGGTAAGGAAAACCACAGGGGAGAGCATCTAGGAATCTAGGGTTCGGAGGTAAGCGGTATAAGGATTTCAGGATTCTGGCGGTTTACGGCCTAGACGTGGCAGAAGCACCAGGAAGCGCACGCTTAAGACAGAAGGGGCTAGATGGAGGTGCAAAGCACATAGAAGCACTGACAAAAGGATAGGACCAAGAAGCACACCCTGCAAGCAGGAGGGGTAGGAGCACCAAGAAGCACAAGGAAGCACAGGTGCAAACCTATTGGGGGGCTGCAAACAGGAAAGGGGAACTGTCGAGAGCACCAAGAAGCACACGCTGCAAACCAATTAGTGGTAAAGAGGGCACCAGGGAGCGCACGATAAAGGCAGATACAAGAGGCACGAAGCACAAGCAGCCTTGACCCGTGGTTCCCGTTATTACCGCGTTTGGTTTGCCGTGGTACATTCATGGTTTCCGTTACAGACCCCGCTGGTTCCCAGAACGATGTTCTCTGTCAGAGACACTCCTTACGATTAGGTCACTGATATGAGTTTTGGCCCCAACTCATGTATACCTTGCAGTACTGGCTTCCTAGAATCCTATCGCGGTACACAGGATAACGATAAATTAAATGATAAGTCATCCTGAGCTAGTGACCACGAGGTGCTGGTGGAATTTGCGGAGATTGGGATCCTATCTCTGAGATGCTTGGCTTCTTTCAGCTTCTCAAGGCTTTGCAGGAGTCTTTGGCGTTCCGGGGAACTTCGATCAGCCCATGTCGCGCGTGCAGGCAGAGTCAGCATGCTCTGAGAACTAAGCTGTACGATTACATCTCTGCCGTTCCGTGTGCATTCAAGGGCATTTCGATCTCCAAGAGGTTCCTGTGGGCGAGCAGGAGGAGACCATGCAGAGATGGCATCGTTTACGAGTGCTCATTGACATGACATAATATGGACAACGTGTGCATGACGTTGCCGCATCGCATGTATAAGCATGTCGCAGCAACATCAAGAGCTACAGCTGCTGCTTCTGCTGCTGCTGCTGCTGCTGGTCCTCGTCCTGCAGCTGCTGCTGCTGCTGCTGCTGCTACTACTACTGCCACTACCACTACCCTACCACTACCACTACGACTACGACTACGACTACGACGACGACTACTACTACTACTACTACTACTACTACTACTACTACTTTCAGGTTTTCATTCCGGAGCTTTCACAAACCCTCGCGATGTGTCTGAAGCCTGAGGCACACCCGTGACCCTACCCGATTAGATTCTCCCAGACTCCGGCATGCTTTTTGAAGCTGGAATACTTGAAGGACCCGGCTGTGAACGGTTCGCGCCGTCCTTTGGGCGCAGGCAGTGTTGTTGCTGTATGATTGTATGTTGAGCTGAACCTGTGTTTAATGTACGACAGTTTTCCTCGATTTCACTTCGGACTGTGTTGGTGTGGTGCCGTTGCGCGTTGCGTTTGCTGCTATCGTCCATTATCAGCAAGGCCGCCCCAACCACAAATTCAGAACTTGCCTTTTTACGGTCGTGCAATGGCTTTCTGATTTGAAGACTTCTGGCTCCGTCCCCTTGTTTTGCACAGATGCTTCTCTGTTCTATGCCCTCCACGTTTTGCACACCTGTCTCATCAGGGGCGCTTGGAGACAATTTCAGTCAGAAGTTCACGTTCCAAGGATGTCGAGATTCTGAGGTAGAAGTAGAAGTATGAGAGTCTAGACGAGGCCTTCATGACAGTGTCTTTCTGCACGAGAGCCTGGACCGAACCCCCGAGAATCCTTCTTCTCAAGTCCCCGAGTAATTGCAGCACAGCCCGAAGGCCTAGAGCCGTGAATGATACAATCTAAGTTCTCTAAATTGGGGTCCCCCTTTCAATTAGGTCCCAAAGTAGTGCCGCACCCCTAGAACAAGGACCCTATAAGGACCCTACTTTAGAGAACTACCCATATGCCCTATCGCTAAACTTGTCTCTGACCCGGGAGCCTTGCTGCAAAAGACAGCGGTGCACAATGTCGGAATCGGATTCGCAGCACCCTAAACCCTAAACCCTAAGCCCTAAACCCTAAACCCTAAACCCGAAGCCCTAAACCCTAAACCCTCTTCAGTGTTGCGCGGGCTTTTTATCGGTGGAGGCCTGGCTGGCATCGCACGCCGCGAGGCGAGGGTGGAGTTTGGCTGTCTGTCCTTGAGTTATGACTATTACCATTGGGGTTTAGGGTTTGGGGTTTAGGGTTTAGGCATTATTATTATTATTGCCAATGTTTACTATTACCATTAGTATTACTAGCTATTACCACTATTATTACTAGTGTTATTGTTAATGTTTTGAAGACTCCGGGGGCTTCAGACATTGGGGCAAGATCCGCTGTTGCTTCGTAAGCGACAGTTAGAGTCTGACGCCTTCGTTTTGTTGTCATAGCTGTTGCCACGGTTTGCATAGTCACGTCTTATATGAATGTCAGCGGTTATTCTAACCGTTTCCAAGACGAGGCCTGCTTCGGCTGTATGCCGAGCAAAACCAGCACTATGTTCTCCAGTAAGCAGGGTGAGGTCGCAACCTCTCATCACCATCTGCACGGTGTCATGGAGTCGACCCGTCGCGGAGGCACGCAATGCTCGGGTTGCCGTGCGGCAGCTGGTGGTGGCAGAGGCCGCACGGGTTCGGATGTTCTCGGTCCCGATGTCTTCTCGGCGGCCCACGTTCTCGAGGAGTGCGGCTGGCTGATCGGCAAGCGCGGGAATAAGATCCACAAGCTCCGGGCCGCCAGGCTTCAAGTGTGCTACAGACACGAATCTCCGAAGTCCTATACATCTCAGAGCCCCAGACCCCCAAAGCTGAAACTCTCTGGAAGCCAAGCCCTGAGAGACACCTGAAGGCCTCAAAGCCACGCCACCGAAGCCTTAAATCAGCTCCCGAACTTCCATGCCACAATGCTTCTGACTTTTTGACTAAGGAGCTTGCCTTGGTTGCCACCCGCGATGGCGACGAGGAGCCCAGCACCCCAACCAAAGAGCAGCACGCGGCGTTGTAGTAAACCTGGCATCTTCGCAGAGCGTGTAATACAGCTTGTAATCCTGACACAGGCACCTCGGGCACCTCACGAGTGAGGTATTGGTAGGAGGCTACAGCCGCTTGTTCGGCTGTCTCGGGGCCGTAGCGACCTTGCGAGCGCAGCAGGAGCTGTGCCAAGACCGTCCTCGCTCGGTGGTCGAAGCTCGGCGGAGGTTTCGGGTTTAGGGTTTGGTGCTTGAAGTTTTAGCGGGTAGGGTGGCTGGGGCCAGGGGTTCAAGTGCTTCGGGGGCAGTGCTAAGACGGGTAAGACCCGCCAACAGGCGAGCAACCCCCAAGCGCTGCTACATCAGCGCTAGCCGTTGCCTCCCAAAGCCCAAACCCAAAGGAGATCTTTGGGGCGACCATGTCAAAATGCCTTTGCGTACTGCAACTGATTGTGGATGACCTGGAGCTCTTTCCAGAGGCGGGAACGACCCACGGCCAAAAGCTACGCAAGCCTGCGGTCAAGTCACCTATCGGTTTCCAAACGGGTTTTTGGAGGGTCCTATGGGGGTTGTGTAAGGAAAGTTTGCGAAACCTGCACATGCCAAGGGACTCGAATCAAGCTGGAAAGCTACAAGGTGCAACCTAGTTGCACAGAGGCTGCGAAAGAATAGCATCGGAAACCACGAAGGTTCAGGCGCTGGAAGCGGCTACGGGTCTTGCGGAACGACCTGGAACTCTCTAACCCTGACACCAGGTGGTTCCCATCACCAGCCTGCTCCTGCCAAAGAACCTGGCCCCCTTCGCCCCCATCGGCTTTGACGAGGTGCGGCAAGAAGAGGAAGGCAAATGCAAAGAGTCACGACACGGGACTAGTGCCGTAGAGCTAAGAGAGCATCACCGTCAGAGCCTGGAGTCTCAAAGTCCCGGCAAGTTCATCGGGACGAGCCTTTCCTGGTTTTGCAGAGAGTCGTTGGAACGCGTTTTTGACACTTCCTCTCATCACTCACGCGTGGCGCTCGCACGCATCCGAGCTGCCAGTTGCGCGCATCTGCCGAGGCAGCACGGCGAGCTGGCTGCGATGCATCGCTGCGCGAGACGCCGAGGTCCCGGGATTTCAGAAGTTTTGTCTGCCGAGGGTTCAGGAGCCCAGAGGGAGCTGATGTTGTGACAGTCCCTTAGGGCCGGCTGGTGTCAGGGAACGTGAGAATCCTCTATACTGGTGAGCAATGGTACAAGTAACAAGTATCTCCTGACAGAAGATCAAGGCGTTGCCGCAATGTTCCTCTATTCTCCTGCTGTGAAGAAGGGGCGAGGTGCCTTGACGAAGTGTTTCAAAGATCAGCCAGAAGACTATTCCGAAGATCGGGCGGAGTTCCAAATCGAGAAAGTGGAGTTTCCCATGTTTTCCGGTCTCCCCGGATGTCACCGTTCCAAATCCCGCATGGGGTATGCTGCCGCTGGTGTCTGAAAAGCTCGTGGGTTTTTTCGAAGCGCGAGGTGTGAAGGTCACCAAGACGATGGAGACGAAACAATTGCACACGAAGCTTGACTTTGTCATTCGGAAGCTTTCAGGAGTTGTTGCGCTCACGGTTACAAAGATGGATTACCAAAAGATTGCCGGGAAGAAGCATGTCAAGAACAAGAGGAAGCGCGATGAGTTTGAGTTCGGTGGCTTCTCGGAAGAGGAGCCCGAGGAAAAGCAAACCTGGAGTATCCCAGGCATGGAGAAGATCAATTCGAGGGCAGAGCTGGCGACTGTAGCACTGGACATCGAAGATGTTGTTGCAGATGAAGGGAAGAATATGTTGACGATCGATCACCTTCAAGCATCCCTTACGGGCTTTCCACCAGCAGTCTATCAGCAAGGATGGCGAGATTACGTATGTGGAAGTGGAGGAGGAGACCAAAGGGACGAAGGTGCCGGTAGATTCGGCAGCCAACCCCGAGCCACCAAGGGCAGTGCTTGGGCAAGAGCTTCTGAAGCTTTGTCCTAGCACAATGAAGATGCATCTCTACTTCTTGGGAGACTGGAACGACACAGATGCCTTCGGCGGTGAAGGCCAGGGTAAAGCCTGCATGAAAGAGTTAGGCTGGTACCTCGACATGCTGAAGAAACTCCAATCCACGATCGACAAGAAGCGTGAGGTTGTGGCAAATGTCCAGCAGCGACGGGACCGGCAGAAAGGCACGAAGTTCTGCGGTCTTCCCGCAGACAGTCATGCCAGGAAAGTTCGACTTGGATATCACAAACGTGACGGGACACTGGGACCCTTCGGTGCTGGAAGAAGAGTGGAAAGCCTGGTATGACTTGCGAAAGCAAGCTGAGTCGCATTGCAGTCAGCTGCTTCGAGAGGGTTGTGAAGGGGAAGGGGATGAGGAGAAGGATGAGGAAGAGGAGTTCGATGTTGATGACCATGATGAAGACTACTATCAATCGTCGAGATTCCAACTGAAGATGTTGAAGGACTTACGGAGTGCATACTGCAACTCACTGAGGCGCGCGGGGCTCGATGCTGCCAGGGCGGAAGCTGCAGCTAAAGGCCTTTTCCTGCAAAGTGTCCATGTGAGCGAGGATGGTGGCGTCCAGCCCCGTACAGTTGATGTGCATGTTCGCATATTCAGCGCTGTTGGCCAAGCCAAGCTGGTCGATGTCGAACACGAACATCATGCTCGAGCACGTATGAGTTTTTGTGAAGAGCACGCCTACATCAAAGCGCAGATTCATGCAGTGGATCCTGAAACTTTGACTTTCCAGGTGGTGGATGACCTTGCCGGCACAGTGGACGACATCACACTCTTCAAGATGGAACGTCATCCTCGCACCGGCAAGCGCAGCTACTCACTGGCACCGGTCAAGGAGGTCCAAAAGCTCTCCGAAGCGATTTTGGGTCAGCGTCGCGGGTCCTTTGCTGCCTTCTACAGCTTCTACATCTTTATGATGGCAGCTGGTGCTGACACACGGCCTTTCACTGACATGGATTACTGTGAGTTTTGTCCACTGAGCTACCTAAAGTCGAAGTTTCACCACAAGAAGTAGATAGGGTAGGGAGGGGTTGCCAAGACATGTGCAATGTGAGCATTGTACATGCGGCCTATGTGCCTGTACATGCGGCGGTGTGGTCTGACGAGAGAGAGGAAAAGCCGTGCAGTCAAGGATACTCTAGTTGTTTGTTTTCGCTGTAGAAGCATGGTCGCTGTTTGCACTGAGTCAACTTGTGAACGACAGCAGCGCTCGGGTGGCAGTGTCATGCTGCAACTGATTCTGCCAGCCGTGACCACCCGGACCGCCCGTCGCTTGAGCCCGCATCGACCCGTTGCCCAGCTGGCTTCTCCTTGAGCTACGTGGCGGGCCGCGCGAGCGCATCGCCGGAGCGACCAAGGCCTGAAGAGTAGTGCCCCCACACTGATTTGTCCGCCCAGGCTTCAGAAGCACGGAAGAGAATTACCCGATCGTCGTTCTGAATCATTCCGGTCGCGACTATGGTCAGTCGGGTTCAATTCTTTGCGAGGGGCTGGGCTCGTTCATAGCCAGAGAGATGCAACATATGTATGACATCTGAAACGCCGGGGTAATGTAGACAACCAGCTGCAAAGGGCCCCGGCCATACAACGGCTGGCACGATGGCAGCAAATCGCAGGGGTTGTTCAAGGGCATGGCGAGGTGTCGCTGAAAGCCAGAAGCTTCCAGGTTTCCTCACGAGGTCGCTTCCGCTTCTGATGCACCGAGCATCTCAAGATATCGTAAACATGACGAGCAATGTCTCTTCAAATTTGCCATTTGCATGTCCTCGTCCTCTTCTGTGAAGGCGCACGAAGCGGCTGAAGCTGCAGCCACGGAGAGCTTCTCGGGCCTGGAGCAGACAACATTGAAGTCAAACAAGCGAAGGGTTGACTACCATAACTTCCATAACCATAACCATTACCATGACGACGACGCCAGCAGCGGCTGCAGCTGCAGCTGTTCCGTATCCACGGCTACGACCACAAGTGTGAGAAGGACTACGAGGAGGACGACGACGACGACTGCTGCAGCTACGACTACTGACTACTACTGACACTCCTTCTGCTTGCGCTTCTGCTGCCACTACTGCTAATACGACTGCTACTACTGTGACTGCTACGACTACCACTAGCACCACCACTATACGACTGCGACTACGACTACAATGACGACACCTACTACTATACCACTAGAGCCTGTGGAGCTGAGGAGATGAGGGAGCCGACAAGACAGGGGCCGGGAGGATTGGAGGCGCGTCGCGGTGAGAGGGGCGCATGCTTTTGTCGGGGTTTAGAGACGAGTTCGAGCTGCGCTGCGAATCGAATTTGTGCCACTACTTCTCACCATTCGTGCTGCAACAGACCTCCAAGGTTAACGAGGCCTGAGAATCAGCCTGAGAAGCTGTGTGGACCTGGAGCTGCAGCCTGCTTATCCAGGCAGCAGCCCGAAGCAAGCATCATCCGCGTCGGTCGCGGGGACGCGACTTGGTACTGCCCGGAGTTGGTGAAGTGGCCATCGAGTTTCTTCAGCCAAACGTCTTCGATCCTTTAGAAGTTCCCTGCGGCTCTGCAGTCTGTTTGGAGGTCCCAGCTCTGATCCCTATTCTTATAGTATATTATACTATATTAGTATACTATATTAGTATACTCTATTAGTATACTCTATTATTTAGTATACTATACCACGAGATTTGCAAGAGTTTCCCCAACCGATCGGAGTTGTAGTTTGGGACAGCTCCTCAGCAACCTTCATCTTCGACTGTGCACCCTAGAGGTAGAATGCTATAAAAAAGCACTGACCCTGGTTTCGGCATACTCTGCTCAACGGCATGCTTTCGTGCAGCATCCTCAAAGCTCTAGTAGGAAATTGCAGGTAATGCTGGGTTGAAGTAGAGCGCGAAAACCCACCAAAGCTAGCCTAAAGAGTCGAAAAAAAAGCAGAATGGCCCCCACCCTAAACCCTAAACCCTGAACCCCCACCCTAAAGCCTAAACTTGGCCCGGGAACCCCAAACCCTACAGTACTCCTAAGAAGGCTCATAAAAGCAGGGAGGCCCTCCTAAACGCCCCGAGCTGCAGGGATGCTGCTCCCGGCCAGGGCCAAGGAGCAGATCTGAGGCCGAGGCCGGGGTTTCTTTTTGGGCCCAGGGTTTAGGGTTTAGGGTTTAGGGTTTAGGCAGCGTTTACGTTGAGGGTTCGGGTTTGGGGAGTTTGGGGTTTAGGGCTTGGGGGTTTAGGGTTGAGCGGTTTAGGGTTTAGGGTTTGGGGGTTTGGGGGTTTAGGCTTCGAGGAACTTAGGGTATGATGGGGGCTTTCAGGTTGAAAACTGGTTAGGGCTTGAAGGCTTTGGTGTAGGATGTGGGGTTTATGAGGTATCAGTATGATGTGATCAGGCTTGGCGATTAGGCGCGGCTAGGGTTTTGAACATTGCGATTATAGAGTTAACAGGTCTTATAACTGTATAAGGGTTGGGTAATAGAGTGGTTTTGAGGTTTGGGGGCTTCATTTGTAGCAGTGCTTTCGGGTTGGGGATTTGCGGTGTGCGAGTTTCACCGGTATGTCAAGTTTTCAAAGGGTTTTTATTCGGGCTTAATGCAGGGTTTTGTGTGTTTGGTGTGTATTCGGGTTTACAGTAATTTGTCGATACTTCTCGTGTGTTTAGTTTGCAGCTTTCAGGGCGTAATCCAGATGCGGTTTGCGAGAGTTTGGGATTTGGGTTCAGCTTAGGCAGACAGGTTTGGGGTTTGGGATGTCCGGTTTAGGGCTCAGGGTTTGCGACCTTGAAGTTTGCATGTTACCTTCCATGTCGGGCTTAAGACTCATACGTTTGGGTTGTGGGACTCATGGTTGAGGGGCCCAAGGCTTCGAAGGTCAGGGTTCAGTCAGCAGAGGCGTTCGGATTAAGCTCACAGAAGCTTGGGGGTCCAGGATTTCGAGTCCGGGACTTAGGGGTTTGCCGTGGAAGGGCTTCGATCGGCTTTGCGAGAAAGTGTACGACAGATGTCGGGTTCAGAAACTGGGTTCCACATGACATGTGCATGCGCGCTCGTCAAGACAAGGGGATTTTCAGAACTCCGCCTGGAACCCGCGCTTTCGGTGCCTGACGGGACCCATGCCTGCAGGCCTGCAGCTCCAGAGGCGACAGCGCTGTCGAAACCGCTGGATCCAGGCGGAGCTGAGTTTGGAAACGAGAGTAAACGGCTCCGTATATGCCTTATATGAGAGTTTCCGAAAATAAGGGGTACCTTATCTTGGGCTCCTTATAATAATGATCCTACTATTGAGGGTACTTTATTAGGGTCCCCTACTTTGGAAAACCCCCGTATGCAGAAGGGTGGAAGGCCGCAGCTGTGCTGTCAAACCCATGGTTTCTCCAGTGCCTGCGCAGCTTGAGGTCGTGAGTCGCGCGAGCAGATCTCGTTCCCCTCAAATCTTCGACCCGTTCGTGCCAGTCTAAAACGATATGCTTTGACAGGCTCCGCACCGCTTTCGGCTTCGACGGAGAGGCCTGGGTTGAGTGTTGGGCCTTGAGGCCGACCTGCGAGATGCTTTGCTCGCGCAGGCACGCGTCAGATGCGCGGCAGTTCTCTGACCGTTCCGGTGCCGCCCTGCTGGTCGTGATGCCCAGCTGCTCGGTTGCACCTTAAACAGCCCTGGGAAGCTGATGCCCCCTAAAGAGTCAAAGAGACGCGCGAGACCGCGAGGTGGCGCCTCCGCCGCCCGCGCTGTAAGGGACTGGGACATCCAACGGCGCGTCGGAGTCCGGATGGAGGTCGAGGCAGTGCCCTTCTGAATCTGTCCTGTCGTCAGTAATATCATAATAAGGTTCTCTCAATCTGACGGGTGCAGTCAGTCTTGCAGCCTGCCATCGCTGGCGAAAGGACGGTTGACCGGGTACTTGATAGTTTGCTCGTGTGAGGGTTTCGCTGGGGGGGCCACCAGACCAAATTCAACTAAAGAGAGATTTTTCTCAACTCTGTATTCTCGTGCTGAGACTTTGCGAAAGGCTGGACAGCACAAACAGCCCAAGGGCAACATCATCAACGCATGTTCATTCTGTTGCCTTTTGAAGAACCGTCGGTCCAGACACGGCCTATCGCTTCTGCTATCGCTTCTGTCGCTTCTGGCACACAGACTTGCTTTCATGAAAACGTCATCGCATGGGCTGAAGTTGTGTGGTTGGGCGATGCTGACAAAATCTTGAGGCTAAAGTCGTTTTTGGGAGGTGCTTGCGGCGTTCTGAAGCAACCAAACCTATCAGCCAGGATCGGGGCAAAGTCGTTGTTGAGAGGTGCTTGCGGTGTTCTGAAGCAACCAAACCTGTCAGCCAGGATTGGGGTAAAGTCGTTGTTGAGACAAACTTGCGGTGTTGTGAAGCAACCAAACCTGTCAGCCAGGATCGGGGTAAAGTCGTTGTTGAGAGGTGCTTGCGGTGTTCTGAAACAACCAAACAACCAAACCTGTCAGCCAAGATTGGGGTAAAGTCGTTCTTGAGAAATGCTTGCGGTGTTCTGAAGCAAACAAACCTGTCGCTTGTCAGCAAGGGCCAGGATTGGGGGTAAAGTCGTTGTTCGGGGAGGCGCATGCGTATCGAACTCGTTGTTAAAGATGACTTCGCTCCCAGAGCCACGTTCCCTCCAGACTCCAGGCCGCGACGCTGGGCGGATCTAAAGCTCTGCCCTTTGGAGAAGATCAGCTCGAAAGCTGAGAGTTTTGGCCTTTCGGTTTAGGATTGGGTTTACGGCCTGTCGGGTTTCAGGCACATTTTTTGTAGCGATTTTGGGCTTCGGGCACAAAGGAGCAGAATGATGCCAGGCAACAGCGAGTCTTGTTGGTGACCGTAGGCGTGAGTGAATCCGATTCGGGGCTGTTCGAGCCAGAGGCGCTTCTTGTCAATGACCTACAGGAACCAGAAGCAACTGACAGAATAAAGACAGGAAGATGCTGCTAATGACGATCGCGATGGGATGGCAGTGTTTCCTTGACAGGGCTCGGAAACAGATCCCTGTTCAAAGCAAGAGAAAATCGTGTGATAGTGCCGGTCATGACACAGAAAGGCTCCTTCTCTCATGGCACTCAACCCTAAACCCTAAACCCTAAACCCTAAACCCTAAACCCTAAACCCTAAACCCTAATCTCGAAGTCTCTGGTGGCAAAAGGGACTTTTCCCTACGCCGGCCCGAGCCGAGGCTCAGAATTACGGGAACGCCAGTGGCGACGGCGCTCGCGTGCGCCTTTGCGAAAAAAACCCTGAAAAACCGCTTATAAGGTTGTGAGTTTAAGTTCCTCTGTGTTACGCTGCAAGAATATTTTTCGGGAGTCTTGTTTAACTGTTTTGATAAGCATCGTCGGCTCTCCTTCCTGCTGCTGTTGTTGGTCTTCTTACCCTTTTTGTCATTGGTGACTATTGTCAGTGCGAGCGTCGTAGATACTCGGACGGATATCACTTGCGTTCAAAGCCACTGCAAATTCCCAGAGGCGTATTGCTGCAGAAGGCCCAGTGGCTGGAGCAGCTGCCTGCAGAGAAATAGCGGCCGAGCGGAAAAGAACCTTCCGCTTCCAGCTTCGGCTTGAGTGGTTGTTGTGGGGCTCGCAATGGAAGGATGGTTCGTGTCTTGATAAAGGCGAGAAGGATGAGGTTGATATTGAGCTCTTCTAGATTGCAGTGCAGTATGCAGTAGATGGTGTTGGCACAGACGCAGACCCAGACCACCGATGGATCACAAACGTGCACTGTTTTCACCCACATCTATGCGGTAAACAGCACCAGTATCCCACAGTGGTATCGCAAAACTCCTGAGACGAAAAAAGAGAGCGAAACTTTGAAGGACCTTGCTCGGAAGCAGATCCTGACGGCCCTTGAGGCAGCTTGCGGTGTGCTGCCGAAATTGAAATGGCACGGTTTCTAGTTTCGGCTTGAGAGTCCAGGGTTCGGATCTGATACCCTGATAAGTCTTATGTCGGCATGAGAGTTTAGCGCTTTTGATCGCTCATGGCAGCGTTCGGGGACCCCTAGGTAGGCGCTAGGTGGGTAACCGATTGAGCTGACGGGGGTCCAGAAGATGTCGCCCGACGACGGTTTGATCCTTGACGGCAGGAGGTCCAAGAGCAACGGTGTTCCCGACAAGCGGTCTACTCGCAGAAGCAGGTTGCGGAAGCAACGCCCTGTCCAAGCCGAATGAGCCAGCAAACCTGCAAGCCTACAAATTGGTCTGCAGAAGCACTGGCCATGGAAGCATGCGCCGGAAGCGGAATTAGAGGTCTAACACCTGCAGTCTTTGGACCATCCTAAACCCTAAACCCTAAACCCTAAACCCTAAACCCTAAACCCTAAACCCTAAACCCTAAACCCTAAACCCTCACTGAAGTGCTGGGACTTGGAAAGGCCGGGCCGAAGCGCATTCGGCCGAAGACCAGGGAAGAGCTGAGGCGGCTCATTTCTTGTGGGGCTTTAGAGTTTTTAGGGATTTTTGGTTTTAGAGTTTTTAGGGATTTTTGGTTTTAGAGTTTTTAGGGATTTTTGGTTTTAGAGTTTTTAGGGTTTTTTGGTTTTAGAGTTTTTAGGGATTTTTGGTTTTAGAGTTTTAGGACTTGCGGATACAGGGGTATGAAGCAGCTGCATCTTGACGTGTTTGCAAAAGGTTGTTGCCGACTAACAAAACTCCCTACGCCATGATTGGGATCGAGATGGCATCTGTGCAACGGAAAACAACAGGTGCTGATGAGGTGAGAAGTGTCACAATAAAGCTAATCAGCTAGACGACTATACGAGGGAGTTGGGTCGGAGACCATGAAGACCAACGAGCTGCCAAGACCAAAGTGTGGCATGCCCAAGCATGAGGCTCGAAAACATTTTCGGGAAGGTCTGCTTGGAATTGCGGTTGCAGGTGGCGCCTGGAGGATTTGCGTGAGGAGCTTGCAAAGTTGAAGGTGGACGTGGAGCGGCAGAAGGTGGAGGGACTGGCTTGTGAACTTGTTTCATGTGTCTAATTGCTAAGCTGGGATACATCTTCTGGAGTTGCGTACCTGATGGGAGGTGTGAGCAACAGTATCTTTTGACCTGCTTGTGTATCGGTCCATGGCATGTTATGTGTTTTGTTATGGTGGCTAATCACAAGGGAGACGCAGCCTTGTCATGCCCAGAGACTTGTCGGAAAAGAAGCCGTTTATGGGCTTTCCCCGATGACTTCTCCCGACAGGGCCTGCTTCGTGCAGGGACTCCCATGAAAGGCATGCGTGCCTGTTCGCATGATGTCGCATCTGAAGCTGCAGCCAACAGATTTCGACTGACCTCAAGAGCCCCTGCGGACAAGCTTTTTGGGCTTTGAAGGCTGACAAGCAATTGCACTACAGACCCTGATGCATGAAGAAACTTCAATTTAGACGACATCCGGGGCTCTGGCCGACCCAGTCTATGTAGAGCATTATGGAGGCCCTGGATACAAGAACATGTGTGTCTCAAGCTTCCCGGCCAGGCACAACGCCCCGTTGTGACGCAGCCGAAAGCAGGTGCCGAGCTACCGTTGGGATCGTCGAAGGGGGCATAGGCTTGAGCATAGGCACAGCAAACTACAAGCAGCGGACTGAGTAAATCTAGAGGCTCGTGATAGAATGTTGCATCATGTTGCCTTTGTCGTGCTCCATTCCTTGCACCTGCAGTTTGAGCTCGACAGATCTCTGGTGCGCCCCTGGTTTTACTACCCCTTCTCGCACCCTCAAAGGTGAGAAAGAGAACCTCGCGGAAGAGATCTCCGCGCAAAAGACGGCCATCCAGGCAACGTGACTTATGCGGGTCTTGCAGCGTTCACGCAGGGCTTCGTGCATCCAAAGACTTCTGGGAGCCCGAAGCCCAAACCCCAGGCCCTGAAACCCCGAAACGTCTTAAAGGAACCCTTATTGTAAACTTAAGGCCTCAGCCAAACAGAGCCCTCAATGGAGCCCTCCAGGAGTGGAAGAAGCGCGTCGCCGGCTTGGAGCAGGAGGGCGCGGGGCTGCAGGCCGGGTAGATCTCCAGTCCTTAAAGGATCATGGGACTGAGTAAGTAGGGTTATAATTAGGGTAACTATACTTATAACACAATTAATTAAGGGACTTAGAACCTTACTTACTAAGCCCCATGATCCTCCAAGTAGATCTCCAGTCAGTCAGGGTTTTGGGGTGTGCATTTGTTTGTTTTGCTTGCGCTCTCGCCGGGTGTCTGTTTCAGAGGTTGGAGTTTTACCGGGCTTAATGTCAGGCTTCGGTTCCATGTTTCGGGTTTCTGGATTTATTATGCGAAGAGGCCCTTATGGGGATTGGTGTTCTGTCATGTGCGACGAGGTAGCCATTGCCAGTGCAGAGCAAGTTCTCCAGCGTGGCCGCGAGCGCTTGGATGCTGCATGTTCACCGTCGTGGGCCGAGAAATACGGGAACGGTCTGGGGGGAGTTGCGATGACTCTTCCAGCTTCCTTGAGTCCTTGAGGTGGCAAGCATCAGAGAGCCAAAGCGCTCACGTCTCCGCCAGCGCTGTGAAGGCACGTGGCATGGCGCAAGCATCGAGCCTGGATCTATGCCTTCCAACATAGAGTCTTGAACTCTTGGGCGTGCAGAACCCTGGCGGGTGTGGCTCGCGAGTGCCAGCTGCTGGCGAAAAACCCCGGCTCATGAGTATTGAAGACCTCCAGCTTGCATGGATGCCTTCAAGTGGCTTTCAACTTGCGGCACTGCGCATCTGCGAGTGTTTGTTTCGCTGGCAGGAGCAGCTCTTGACCAAGGAAAAGGAGCCTCGGGCAGAGAGAGGGGTGGCAGCGTTGGCATCTCGCTTTCTCTCTCCGTAAGACCCAGCAGTTTACAGGATGCTCCATGGAATTCTCAAGTGCTTTGGCCCCATGAAACATCCCACAAAGCTCGTGGCCCCTGCTAAATCCATTTTGTGTGTATATAAATAAATAAATAAATACTGAAATAAATACATATATATATATATACACACACAAAATTTATGTATGTATGTACACGCGTATGTATGTATGCATGTATGAATGCATGCGTATATGTATATAGGGTGTCGCATCAGCCGTTGTGAGGAGTTTGCGGCCCTGCACAAAGAGCGCATGAATCTCGAGGAGTGCCTTGGCTGGTGCGTGGCTGAGCCCTCGCGGCTACATGTTCTTAGTGTTTTCATACGTTTGCTGTTCTGAGTTTATGATCAATGGGACGGTGTAGGCTTTGCCTGATGCTACAGTGAGGTTTTGTTTCCAGGCCATTCTAGGATTTTTTGAGCCTGAAATCCTGGCGGTCCGGTCCCAGGAAACTCTTGGAGCAGAACCAGGAAGTGCAAGAGCGTCAGCAGGACAGGGGCGGACTGTGCGGGCGGGACGGACCGGGAGCCGGCAGACCGAGACTCTCGAGTTGGTTCTTCCCTCCAGGGCTTGGGGGAAAACCTGCCCAAGATAGACCCTTCTGTGAGGGCGGTTGAGCAGGCTGCTTGCCGCTTCTCTCCTGTATCCTACGTCACGAGCATGACTAGGACTACGCGAACTAACCACAAGCAGAGGACCAGGGTAGGAACAGAAAAGCCAAACCATTCATCACAAGCAGTCCTCTATGTATGCAATGCTCTGCTGATTTTGCGCTTGTCATGTTGGCTGTTGGCTCGAAGCAGCGGTGGCTGTACTGCCGCCGACTAGCACCCACAAGTCAGTGGGCTCTCGAAGAAAATCCTATCTGATCATACTCCCGTCCTCCTCACCTTTAACAAAGCGGCACCTCCTTGGCCCCCTTTTTTGCAGCGTTAGTGTGAGTTTTCGGGGCCCTTTCTGCCTCTGGTCAGCGGCATGGGTTGTGCCCTTGCTCGCAAGAAGCTATATAAAGCATAGTACCATATAGCACTATTTTTCGTTATATGTTATTGTACTGTTTGGTATTTATCGAAAACACTATGTCAAATAATGTGGTCTGGTCTTGTGCTATAATATTATACTACATAACATGATTAAATTTAATACCGAATAATATAAGTCAGTATTATCTAAGCATCTCTTTCTACTGTATTACATCACTGTATATTTTAGTTTATTGTTCTATTTTCTTATGTTATGTTATACAGTCAGCGCCGGAAGACCTAACAATTTTGTATGTCGTTGCCCACACGGTGAGGAAGGCGAAAGATGAGGTCGTAGCAAACAGCGACCACACTGGGCGTTGCAGGTTGTGCAAACAGTCAGATGTTTGACATGTGATTATTGATCGCATGTCTCAATTTTCTGTGTCTGCCGTCGTTGGGTGAAGCCGTTTCGGCTAGTCAGTGGCGGTGCATGCCGTTTCGTGTCTTTCCTGTGTGCTTACGCTTCGGAAATCGAGCATCTAAATGGGAATGGCTGGTTTTGAGCTGCTGCGATTCTATTGCCGTTTGTCTTGAGCGGGTGCTTGTGAAATCGAGCGTCTAAAGGGGGATTGGCTGTCTTGACGTGCTGTGATTCTACTGCTGTTTGTTTCGAGCGCGTGCTTCTGCAATCGAGCGTGTACATAGGGGAATGGCCCCGCCGGTATTATATTGTATTCTCTCAGTCTCTCTCTCTCTCTCTCGCAATATATATATATATATAGCATAAATAAATAATTATAAATAAAAAAATATATATATATATATATGTACACCATATATACTATACTTATATACATGCACAGTATACATTCTTCGTTAGTTCGCGGTGCTGGTTGGTTGTGTCGTTGTGGTTTTACATTTATTGCTGGCGAAAAGCGGCATTGGCGAGGGCCGCGCGCTGCTTATGGCGTTTCGGCAAGATGGCTTCGCCAAGTTCTCTATCAAAAGACACTGTATACATTAATTACTATTTGGATGGTGTTGTAGATATGCTTATATATATATATATATATATCTAAAAGTATACACATACACACACACATTATAACCAGCTCGTGCAGACGGGTCTCGTCGCCGTTTCGAGATTCCGAAGCACTTCCTTCCCGTGCCAGGTGCCAGCTCTATGACAGCAGATGCTCATCAGGTGCAAAATTCCGTGGCAGGGCAACTCTTTTGCTTTTCAGGGGAGCCCTGTTCTCAATCCATTTGTTCATCGATGCTAGCCGCCAGCCGCTAGCCCCCAAGAAGCTAACCCTTATCTAGTGGGTTCAGGCGGCTGTGTGCAAAAGCCGAGGCACCGAATCGACTGGGCCACGGCCGTCAGCAGCAAGAACAAGGGAGAAGCTTTCCGGCAATCGCGCTGTGTGCTTGGTGCTGAAACTGCATATCGGTATATCTCCTTGCACAAGTACAGATGTGCGTGCGTGCATAGCTTTCAAACTGTTACAGACATAAATGCTGGGGGGTGTGCTCGTGCATGGAAAAGCATTGGTACTCTGCGCTATGCAGCTTGAATTGAAGACTACGGAAGGCATCAAGCAGGGCCAGTGCAATTACGAGTGTTTGTTGATACCCCTCTGTAGTGTACAACCATGTACAAATAAAGAAAGTGTCACTTTACAAGTTGTCCGAGTTCTCGGCGTACTGGCCGCTTATCTTCCCTCTAGCCAAATTGAAACAAGGCCCTTACACGTCGATGCCATCCCAAGCCGAATCCGACAGAGCTGCACGCGTTTCGGCGTCCGGCATCGTTCCTCATCCGAAACCCCTTGTCGCAGGTGTGACGTTCTAAGTGTCGGTGCGGAAGACCTAAGATGCACTCGTCATTCGGTAGGCGGTCACCTCTGCTTCGCCTTTTCGTAAGAAGCATTACATATTGCATCGTGTACGGTACAGTGGTTTGTACAAAGGTCCGTGCACATAAGCTTTCTGCATTTGCATAGCCGGCCGTTGTCGTAGTATTGATGGAAGTCATGAGAATTGACTTGTAACTTCGATTCAGCTCACGAAGTTTGTTTTGTCTTGCAAGTTTGCTCACACATACTGGTTGGTCACGCTGGGGATCAGGGCTATCATCAGTAACAGACTTGATAGGTACTGAGAGTAAACCAACTGCCCAACATTCGCTGAGAGCGGGTTCCCTCCAGGCAGGCGTTCGAGTGTGAAGCCCCCTGCTTTCTTAACGTAACTTTAAGGGTAACGGCGATGATGATGCGGCTGAGGGGGATGACAGCGATCCATATTTCTCTCTCGGTCTCGCTCTGTATATATGTTGTGAGGGCGCTAGTCATCCTCTGCAGCCTCTTCCTCCGTCGGCGCTGTTTTTCTAAGCGCTCGATGTCACAGTCCCAGACAAGGAGGACACAGCGGAGAAATCGGCTGCGGCGGAAGACTCTCTATTGGTCCAGAAGGCCTAGCCGGGCTGAGAGCAGTGGTAGCGACGGCAGCCATGCTGGGTTCCAGCCCGTGAGGACGGGAAGTCTTCGGGTCAAGCTCGGAAGCACGGCAATTCAATCTCCTTACGGCAATCTCCTTGCTGTTACTTCTCAGGAGCTGCAAGTTGAGAATCTGCCAAACCCAAGCCTCAAGCACTGTAGAGGTCGACACCATGGCGACCACGGCAAGCGGAGAGACGGACTCTTGCAAGGCCGGGTGGAGGTTCAGGGGTTTTAGGGTTTACGGTTTAGGCGTTTAGGGGTTCAGGGTTTAGGGCTTTAGGGCTTTAGGGTTTTAGGGGTTTAGCCCTTCTGACATAGAGTAGATGAGTGCATGGCTGGAGGTTTCGGGGCCGACCTGCAAGTTGACACTGAACTGAAAGCCTTGGGCGCTACCGGCGGAAGCCTGGGTGTGGTCTTCACAACCTCGAACCCGTGGCCATGTAAAGCTTGTGTTTTCTGATGCTCGCTGTCCCATGTCTCTGAACGAGGAGAGTCTCGTCGAGAAGGATCGCCGAATGTCTTGGTACTCGCATTCACGCGCAGAGGATGGGCCAGACTGAGCTGCTGGAGCTTTCGGTTCGGTGCTTCTGAGGGACGTTGGGTCTTGTCTGTGAGGGTTCAGCATTTTGGCTTCCCGAGCTGACTGCAACTGGAGAACTCGGGCGTGGCATTTTCCCAGGAACCCCGTCACTGCTTGTTTCCTGTCTCCGTCAGGACTACCCAGTTGGCCGGATGATTGAACCAAACCGGAAACTTCACGACAAGCATGCACCTGGGCTGCTATGGATGAGTGTTCTCGTTCTAGAAGGCCAGGAGGTGCTTTGGGGTCTGCAGCAGCTCCACTGCAGCAGAAGGTCCTTCTCAGCATGACTGAAGCAAAGCCATGACCGCGATAAAGACTTTGAAGACGAATTGTCAAGTTCTGTCTCAACGCAGCGGTGCTCTGTGCTGGGTTATTCTCTCAGGTCACCAGATGCTCCGTGTAGTCGCAAGGAGGTCAACACTGTGCAGTAATGGCACTTCGCCAGAGGTACGGAGGCTGCGCGCCTTTCTCAATGACGTCGATGCTGCGCCCTTCATGTTCAAGCGGATGGTTCACTGCAAGAGGCTCCACGACTTCGGAGACTCATACGTTCTGGATGATGAAGTGGCTCGGAGGCATGCCAGGCCCCTGGCAATGTTTATTAGGAGTGTTGGTGAAATCCCTTCCCCCCGTTCCCCGCACCACCAATTAGGAACAGGCCGGCTCCGAAACAGCATAAGGGTGGTGGGAATAATGGGCGCACATTTAGTAGTAGCTGCAGCAGCAGGAGAAGTCGTCGTCGTCGTCCCAGTCACCATAGGCATAGCCCACGTCAGAAGTAGTCTTGGTAGCACAGGAGCAGCAAGCAGCCGTCACGACATGGTATTACGACCACATTAATTGTAACTGTTTCGGAATCCGGTAAGGGCTGCAGGCTTGAAGTTGTAGCCTGGCTAGAAGCTGATCGGCCAAAACGACCTGAATGTTTTGCAACTCGGACGTGGGCATTAGAGTCTTCAGCCGTGCTAGTTTGCCATCCTTATCAAGTTTCGGATCAGCAGTACAAGGCTAGTCGCACACTACTCGGCCACCAGTGCTGTCCTGCACCAGCCGGGCGCTGCAGGTTGATCAGCACACTGTCTGACGCTCGGCTGCATCCGAACTTCCTCTGGGCGTCGGCAGCCAACATCGCACGCACAGCTGAGGCCAGCAGCAAGAGAGAGAAGAGCGTGAGAGCTGGAATGTGTAGATGATACCAGTACATACATCAACTATAATGTGTTGTACACATACACGAGCGCGTGCACCTGACGACCTACCTGCATGCATACCTGCATGCATGCATAAGTAAATCGATTAATAGATACATAAATGCCATATTTCTATGTATATATAGAGATACATACATGCATACATGCATACATGCATACATTCATGCA